CGCCCCCGGCGCCCCCCTGCCGCTGGCGGCGCGGGAGGCACCGGCTCCGGGGTGGTACAGCCGCTGCTGGGGGGACTTTCCTCCCGGCGCCCTCCACCCCCAGCGCGGTGGGCAGAGCTGGGGGGGGGTGCTCCGCCAGCCCATCTCGGGCCGGGAGAGGAGAGGTGCTTTCAGGCAGCTGTTTCTCTCAGGAAAAGTTAAAAACGTAATTATTTTTTCTTCATTCTTTCTAGTTTTGTTATGTATTTTGTGTGTGTGTTGAGATATATGTGCGCACAGAGTTTGGTCTTTTTTTTTTTCTGATTTCTGTTTAATATTGTTACCGGCTTTTAGTTTCTTCTTTCTTTCCTTTTTCATGGGTCTAATCCTGAGCATGTGCTGTTTTTTGCGTCACATACTGAAAACTTGTATTTTTCGGTCCATTCCGTAGACTGCATTGAAGCAATCCATGGACTCCCAGGTCAAAACCAACTATTTTTAGATTCAGAATGGTAAATGTAATCAGTTGATTGGGTGATGCACATAAATATAGGCCATGAATAGATATGCAGCTGTGGTTACTTATTCAGGGACTCGTTCAGGGCACATCCTGGTTGATATTAATTCCTTTTCCACAGTAGCCCTGATTCTGTCGTCGGTGGCTAGCGATCAGTACAGCTGCGGTGGTGCGGACAGAAAATCAAAGGTTTGTGGGAATCATGCAGTATGCTATTTATCGTCAATCAGAGGAAAGCTTGCTTTCCCCTGTCATTCAAATGGAAGACTGCACGCTGCTGTCCCTGCTCTGATTGTCAGAGACTCTGCTGGTGCATCGAGATCCAAAGAGCTAAGATGGATTAGGTGGAAGAGGTATCTGCCAGGAACACTTTATAGTGGGAGTGTTACGTGGAATACATCTGAATAAAGATAAACCTTGGAGACACCTCCCTCCCCTTTCTCCTTTATGAGGACGTCCCTACTTTCCATCCATCCCATGCAGGAGGCAACAGCCAGGAGTTACGCTTTGGAAGGAAAACCTATGGCTGTCATCCTCCTTTTCATGCGTTTTAACACCTGGGTGTCTCAGGGGAAAATGCAAAACCATGTGGGCACTAACTTCTCAATAGCCTGTTGGTGAGGCTCCCTGGACCAGCAGTGCTTCCCCTGGCATGGCTCAAACCCGTTTCTAGCATCTTCTAGACCAGGCTGCAAGCTATCAGTCCTCACCTGGCCCTGCAGGGTGGCCTTGCTCAGTTAACAGGTCTTTTCCACCCAGTCTTTTCACGATGAAAGCCTGGTCGTAGGTGGGACTGTGCTCTTAGCAAGACAAGGCAGGTGGTTGCCTTTAAGAACATTACGCAGGACCCTTATAAAGTCCAGCTTTCTCCTTCCCCCAGGGCTAACACATGATGCTGCTGCAGAGGTGGGATGGGGGCTGCCCTTTATGAGGCTATTAATAAGCTTTTAAAGACTTTTTAAAAATAAGGCATCATAACTTTCCATGAAAACCTTTGTAACAGAAGTCACGCCTCCCCTCCCTGCCCAGCTGCTGGCTCCCTCCACCTTCCCGTGTTGTTTTCTTTCACTGCCAGCCCTGAGGTCCCCAGGTAGAAACGCAAGTTATGAGTATGTCTGGAATAGGCTCTTGTAACCTTTTCCAAAAAGCAAGGGAGGGAGAAGTGCCACCTTGAAGGCTGCTCCTGCCATGACCTCTCTGTTCCACGTGTTTCAACATACTCACAACACGTACACCCACCTAGATACGTCCCTGGTCTGCTGCTCACGCCTTGGGGGGTAGCAAAGGATGTAGTCGCTGTTACACCGGCACAGGGCTAGTGTCCCAAAGTCATTATTCACAGAATCAGTCATTCCCCTGCTGCCTCCTCCTCTTCCCTCTAACCTCTCTATCTGACCTCTCTTATTCCCATCAGACAGGTTCCCACACTGGCTTCAGGAGCGCCTGGCTGTAATCAGAGACAGAGCATTTCAGAAAATAGACCATGGCTCGGCTCTGCTCTGGCATTTCTCAAGGTCTCCGTGGTGTGAGGGTTATCAGTAATATGCCTCCCTGTTCCAGCTTGGCTTTCATTCGGGAATCTGAGACTGCTTTTGCAGATAGCAGAGAAATAAGTTTTACCCTAACCCAGTGGGGCGGTACAGCAAATCAGGAGATACCCGGGCCTGGTACTTCCTCTGGGAGCACAGAGAAGCCCGGGCCCGAGCAGACGTGAGCAACATGTCCTTGTCCCTGCAGCAAGAGGAGAGTCTCTTTTAAACACGGCAGTGCCACATCCCTGGTGCCAGCTGGGGCACTTCTTATGGTCTCGGTAGGATCCAAGCAGCGTGCAGCAGTATATTGTGCAGTTGTGGGCCCCATGGTACCGATGGGGCTCTGGAGGTATAGAGAGACTCACTGCGTTGGGAAGAGGTGAGCCCTCAGTCTCTAAAGCTGCGTGTGGCCTCTCTGCACTGCTCGTGTGCAGGCTGGAGTACGGACCAGCCTGTGTGGTGCCTGCAGCTGCGGTGGCATTTGCTCACCAGAGCAGCAACCGGGAAGCAACAGAGATCGGCAGTGCAGGCAGCAAACGTGCTGGGAGGCGGAGAGAGCAGGCGCACGTCTTGACGAGACGCGCAAGGGAAAATGAGTGAGAGTTACGATATCTTCTCTTAATGATGTGCTTCAGGCCCTGAGGGGTGAACCTCAGCGGGTGCCTCCTGAGCAGCAGGTTCAGGCTCGTCTGCTGGCGCACCGCTTCGGTGATGAGCAGGCATGGAGGTGACTGAAGGCCAGGCTGGAAGCACTCGTGGGTCTGAGGACAGCGAGTGTTGTCCAGACCTTTGTGGCGTTAAGCAGATGAGACTTGTTCAGCTAGTTTGTCCGGAGGAGCATTTTTGAGGACAAGGTAGCATGCTCTGAAAGCCCTCCCAGCTTTTTCCTTGATGCCCCAGGCTTGCTGGGCTGTTACACTTTTAAGAAATTTCTGTGCTAAAGGTAGGCCTGTCGTCCGAGGCCGAGGTTAACCCAGAGCAGGCCCGACCAGCCCCAGGGCTGAGGAAATGGTTGGCCTCTGACTTGGCCTTTGCAGCACCTTCAGCGCTACGGGTTGCATAGGGTGACCTCATAGCTTTTATTAGTTGGGAGAAGACAGGTTTCTGGCACAGAAACGTTTCTTGGGTCTGGCAGGAAAGTAAGCTAAGATCCAGTTGGAAGAGCAATGCTTTGAGAAGTTGTTTTGAGTTTCATCTAATGATGCTGGTCAGTTGAGAGCAGCAGTCAGATAACGCCGGGGAGAGGGTGGTCCCGAGGGACAGGCAGGCAAGTGGTGGCACTGGTGGGCCAGTGGACAGACATAGTGTCCAGAGGGGAAAGGGGTCGTAAAACCAGTGCATGTAGGAGGTTGAATTTGCTGGCACCCAGGAAAGTTATGCTTTTGGGTTGCAAGACTTATCTTTCCAAGGTGTTTTGTGGGTTTTTTTGTGGGTAAGGATCAGAATGGAGAGGTCAGTGGCGGACAGGTTCTTTGATGAAAAGCGGCGGAGTGAGTGACGGAGGGATTTCGAGCCCAGGAGCCATCCTCCCCGCATGCCACGAGAGGGCAGCAGGCCCTCACGGACCGGAGCGGCCAAAACTGCCCCGCCGCCCCGACCCTGGCTCGGCCCCACGCAGGCTGCAGGCTGCACAGCTGCTGCCCCAACCGTGCCGTGGACCGCACACGTGCCGCACACAGCTCTGACGGTGGCACGGGCAATGCACAGCCCTGGCACTGGCATGGGGCATGCACAGCCCCGATGTTGGCACGGGCCACAGGCAGTGCTGATGAGGGCACGGGCTGCGCTGTCCCTCCACTGTGCACGCTCACTGCCCTCGCAGACGGACACATACACAGCCCCGACGCTCTGCCATAGCCTTGAGCAGCTCCAAGGGTGTCATCTTAGGTGCCTGCACAGGCATGCTCCTGCCATTGCTTGCAAGCGCTCGCATGAGCACTTCTGGGCTCTGCAGTTGCATACCGCTTCCCTCCTGGACAGGCTTTAGTCATGCTTTGACCCAGGTCTCCCGTGTCGTCTGCTCAGGATACCCCAAGGGAGCGCTGCATTCCCAAAT